CACAGCTCACAGCAACCTCCAACTCCTGGGCTCAAGCGAGTCTCCTGCCTCAGCCTCCCCAGCAGCTGGGACCACAGGTGCCCGCCATAACACTCGGCTATTTTTTGGTTGCAGCCGTCATTGTTGTTTGGCCGGCCCGGGCTAGATTCCAATGCACCACCTTAGGTGTATGTGGCTGGCTCCTTTGCCACTTGAGTCACAAGCACTGAGCCTATACTCATTTCTTAAATAGTTTTGAAATGTACCATTGCATCATGCACATTAGGTGAGGTCCCCCTGAATACCCTCCCTTCTTCCATACCCCCTCTCCCCAACCCCTCTCTCCTCTTCCCTTCTACTTTTATTGTTGATATTTTAAATTTAAAGGCTTTTATGTTATAAGAGGCTTTAACAAAGAGCCCTGCACCTAAAAATAAAAAAAGACAGGGACTACTGTTCTTTGAATGCCTGCTATGTATGAAGGACTGCCCAGGTGCTTTTCCTTATGCTGTCTTGTTTTGTTTCGGTTGTTTTTATAGTTTGGCTGGGGCTAGGTTTGAACCCGCCACCTCTGGCATATGGGGCCGGTGCCCTACTCCCTTGAGCCATAGGCGCTGCCCGTTAATGCTGTCTTATTTAGTTAAGGTAATATATAAATTGTGAGGCTCATGTCATTTTCTGGCCAGTCATTAATTTTATAGGCCTGAAAACTAAGACTATAGGTAGTTGGGTAGCTTGTGACTGCCATTCAGAACCCAACCTGGATCTGTTTCAATTTAAATCAGTCACATCACATAGAAACTGCAACTGTCAGGGAGGTATGTGTTTGGTTTTTTGTTTTTGTTTTGGTGGATGGAAGGAGCAAGCTCTTCCTGATGACCCTGAAAGGCCCGTCACATAAGTGATGCCCTTCTGAGACACAGTGCTTCACTGGCCCTGCAGAGACAGCAGCCTCCCAGCCAGGCACCTCCCCTCACCCATACCCTCTCCATTTCTCCACAGGATCTGTAGCAGCCAGTCATTAAGGCTCCCTCAAGGTGGATATCACATGGGCACATCCTCTGCTCCAGCTGGCAAGCTGACGGAAGAAGCTCCTGTTGATTTTGAAGGCTAGCCAAGCCTCTTATTTCTTTTGCTGGTTTTCTCCATGTAGCTGTTTTTCCCCCACCAAGAACAGGAAGACAGGCATGACGTGTGATACAAAGAGCTGAGAGGGCAGGAGATATAGGTTCTAGCCCTGTAATTAAAGTGTTGAATGACCCTGAAAACCACATGGCCCTTTCCTTGGCCCAGGTTTCCGAATTCATAAAAAGAGGGTGTTGGATTAGAGTCAGTGGTTCCATGGGCTATCCTCAGAGCCTACTGTGGAGACCCAAATGGGAAGTATTTTGGATCCTCTCTATGTTATTACAAGCAGAATAGCTCTGGTTTTATTTGTCCTATATGTATTGAGCTTCTTCTTGAGATATTAGTCACAGCAAAAATGTATGTTTGAAATCCACTATACTGGGTGATCTCTGCTGAGGGCCTATCAACTTTCTGAAGATTCTGAGTGGCCAAACTGAGATTCAGCAAAAGTTTTACCCTTGATGTTTTCTTTATATAGACCCAAGGCCTTTATGCTACCCTTTGACCGCCATGGGAGAAATAGAAGGGGTACAATTAATTTGCCTAGGATACAAGGTTGGGGAAGGGTTAACAAAAGAGGAGGCATCTGAGCTGGACTTACAGAAGAGTAGAACTTCAGTAGGGAATAGATGGTGGGAATGAGGAGGAATGAGGCATGAGGTTATGGAAACACATTGCTCTTTTGGAAATACTGTGTCGTGGGTGTGGATATTGTGTATGATGAAGAGGAAAGTGAAGGTGGAGTACTAGGAGGTGAGGTTGGGAGGGTCACCAGGCCACTTTGTGAAGGGACTTGAATGGTACGTGGTGGGGACTTAACGAGGAATTATATCATTTGGAATAGCACTGCCTAATGGATTTTGAACTTCTCTAGACTCAGGACCCCGGGTATGACAAAGCTCATAAACTCATTAGTGATTATGATTAGAAAAAGTCTGGGTGAATTGGTATCTGCACTAATTTCTTCTTTGGTGCAGGGTGTTGGATATATGTGTAATGCTTGTATAAAACAAAAGGGGAGAGGGGGCAGCCCTGCTGATGGGCAGTGGGTCTCATACTGATAAACTCAGTGGTATCTTTGCCATTTAAACTCATCATCAGAGATGCAAGTGGCAAGATTGTAATGTTACCTCTTGTGTGAAAAATTAGAGTCGGCCTCGCGGCTCAGCTTTCCTAGCTCTTCCCTATAAAGGATCTCCTCATCCCGTTCCTGGAAGCATATGTTTATTTGTAATGCATTCCATTTGCGGTAATTGGAGCAGCATGCCTTTTCATTCTGCTGTCAAACACCCGTCTCCCTGCCTAGAGAGCTTCAGAGTCTAATATAATGAGCCCATGGATTACGTTGGGTTGGAAATCAGGTTCCCAATTAAACACATATGAAGGATGTCTCAGCCATTCGACTCCTTTTTATCATTTGTCATCTTGAAATGTTCCAAGATCCTATGAGATTCCCACCCTGGTTGAGAAAAAGTTTCAGGTTGGGGCACAGTGCCTGATCCGTGGGGGCGGGTGTCAGCTTCATCCATTGTGCACAACAGTGAGGCGTGAACTGAGGCTGAAGAGTTGCTGTGACCAGGCACTTTATATTATCTCATTGAATCTTTATGCCTTCAACAAGGTATTATCTCCATTTCACATATGAGCAGATGGCTAAGCAACTTCTCCCAAGTTGCATATAGCTAGAAAGTGATGAATGAGCATTTAAATTTTTGTCTGAATTAAAAACTCACCTTCATTTTAATTCATGCCTCTGAGAGCCAAATAATTTGTGCTATTCTGCAGCACTTTTGTGGCTCAGTGGAAACAAGTGTAGGGGGATTCTTTTGGTGTCAGTGTCAGAACAGGGATTTTGGAGAATCAACAGTTAATCAGGCGAGTAACCTTCATGAGTATACAGAGGAGAGACTTGCACGT